TATTTAGCATGCAGAAACTCGGAAAGGAAAGGAAGTAGGTGCAGCAGGCCACACCGGCGTCTATGGTGATGTAAAGGTTAGGCCATTCGCTGTTGGAAGTAGAAAAATTGAGTCTGATTCCCGAGTGGGGAAGTTATTTTTACGAGTACCTCCGTCTTTCTTCTTTGATGTATTCTATCTCTTTTCTGCCAGGGTTGGCCCTAACTGTTATTATGAAAGCAGCCCCACTCCAAAATGGTCAGCACTATGTTGAGTGGCTGTACAACACTTTCGATCAAGCAACAAGCAGGGTAGAGCAGATTATTAATTGTCGTGTGCTGTGAGAACCAGGCAAATGTGTCACGGCGAGGCGGAATCAGGCACTCGTTAAGTTTTGGACATGTAGGGTTATTGGTATCATCTTAAAGCTTGCTCATTTGCCTTGCTGTGGATCAAAGAAGTACTCATCTTTCTTGAATAGAAGTTGAGGACGTTTTTGCGATTGAAGGATGTGGGGTGGGGGTGGGGTGTCGCTGGTTTTAGAACAATTAACTAGAAAATAGCCACCAAAGTTTAGCGATTTTCATAGCTTGAGATTCATTGGAGACTGAAAATTCACATTTTGTGTGCCTTTAATCAATGTTTTTCAGTGAAATCCACACAGAAATGTATTTCAAATGGAGATAAAAGTTGCCCCAACCAAAAAAAACAACTACAAAAAACAAACAAACAATAACAAAAACAAACAAAAAAAAACAAAACAAAAACAACCGAAAAAAACTGACCAGCGGTCAGAAAAATGCCGGTTTATTGATTTCATTACTTTGACCAGCACCCAAATCCGCTACGATGGCTCGCAAATGTAAGTCTACTACTACATAACTGTGCTGGGTCTTAGATTACAGTCATCGGCAGGATAGCGGCAATAGTTCGCAACAGTACAGGAGTAGATTAAGACGATAGCAACACAGAAGAAAAGTACATTAGAAGTAGCAGACGACACAAGCAGCAAGTGGCCCCACCGAACAAACGCTTTCCCGCAAGTCAACACTACACGCTCTATGGGAACACGACAGGTATAGATCTAGAACTGTTTTTATGTTCCTTCAATCAGCCAATGGAATAAGTTCGCGGTCAGGAATTGCGTGTCAGATACTAAATAAGTCAAGCGACATAGAAAAAGAGCAAGTTTGCATAGACAGTCCAAACTGTTAAGACGCACACCCCCCCTTCCCCCCCCCCCCCCCAAAAAAAAAAAACCCAAAAAAACTAAAAAAGAAGAAATGATAAGGGAAATATTGCACAAGGACTTTGTCTTGCAATGTGTGAACCAGTTGTTGTTTTTTTTGTGTGTACAACAATTGGTGTTCTACTTTGGGAATCTGTAGCTCATGTATGCGTGTGTTTATGCGCTGTTCTGAAAATAGAAACTTATAATGGTGACCTTTCCTCATTGCAACCTCCCCACTACCAAAAAACAAACAAACTCAAAAACCCCAACCAAAAACAAACACCACCCCCCCCCCCCCAAACGAAAAAAAAACAAAAAAAAAAACACACAGAAAAACCGGTCGTCACCATACTTCTCATCAAAGCCTCACACTCACAAACATTCAATATGAAAAAGGTAAGGCTTTCTAAATACAGTCCAGGTCTTTTTGAAAAGCGGAGCACTTAGATCTAGTACCCCTTCAAAATTCTGTATCACGAGGAAACAAAAATTATTGTTTTTTGGTATTATTTCTGAATGGGGGGGAAAATTCGGTCGCTTCTGGGTTTGTAATTTGACGAAAGTGCAGACAGCAAAGAGAAACAACATCTGAGAGGGAAGAAAAATCAAGCCGCAATAATAATATTACACATATTATATAGTTCTGTATCTGAATCCTGGTGTCCCCATAAACTATTCCATGACCTCTTCAGCAATACATTCACCTGCTTTAGCAGTGTGCATTAGGAGCTTGCGAATAAGCGTCTATTGTGTCGCGGTTATACGCTGTACCCTCTACGGCTGAATCGGGCCGATCGCCCGACTCGGTCGACTGAAACTGAAAACAAACACGTTTTACGGGGTGCCCACTACGGATGGGATCGGCCGATTGGGCCGATCGCCCGACTCAATCGCCTCAAAAACAAACGTGTTTGTTTTCAGTTTCAGGCGATCGGGTCGGGCGATCGGCTCGATCCCATCCGTTTTTGAGGCAACCGAGTCGGGCGATCGGCCCGATCGGCCGATCTCATCCGCAGTGGGTCCTGTATAGGCGCCTCGCTCTCGTACGCAGGAGACCCGAGTTCGATTCCCGAGTGGGGAGAAATTTTTATTGGCTGTCAGAAAGTGACCGAATACTCGTTAGAAATTCTCCCTTCACGGGAATCCAAATCGAATCTTCTGTGTGCGACAGCGAGACACCCATAACCGCTACTCCACAGGCGTCAGTACACAGTACTCGCCACTGTTTTCCTTTATATTCTCTTTCTTGAGATTTTTGGTCTTCAAAGACGACAAACAAAAAGATAGCCAATAGATTTATTTTTACGTCTTATAAAGGCTAGGTGCTTTCTTTGTCTTGCATGAAAAAGGCATGAGTTTGATTCACACAGTCATGTAGAAGTAGAGGATGCCTTATTGAGTATATTGTCGTCTTAGTTTAAGGATTCCAAAACATCCAGGGACTTTGACAATACAGTAGGAAATACCCCCCCCCCCTCAAAGTGTTCTTTCACGTAATTGCTTTTCATTAAGTAAAGCGCCTTCTAAAAGCAAACAAGCAAACAAGCAAACACACACACAAACAGCAACAAAAATAAATAAATAAGCAGATAGATACATAATAAATAAATGAATGAACAAGTAAATCAATCCATAAAAGCATAATTTGAATAAATGAACAAATTGAATGAATAAATAAATAAAATACATGTGGACAGTATTTCTCCCAAATCGTAGTTTCGGCCCTTATTATTTCAACTGATTTCACACCAGATCTGTCTTTCGTATTTGTCTCAAAGTAAGATCTAATTGCAGCCTTTAGCCAAGTCGGTATTATGTTGGTCGACGGTATGGGTGACCCAAATTTCGAAGCTGAGACTAGGCGCTTCTAGAACTTTGTATAACAGAGGGGTTCATGCTCTGTGGTAGTGGTTTTGTTCAGTCGGAGATGGATATTTCCTTTAGAACCCCCCCCCCCCCAATCTTACTGTGTTGAAAGCAGCAGTGGGCAACAAATCATATGTGAGGCTTCACGAATGAGAAATGCTGAATGCAAGAGGGAAGCCCGCAAGCTACACACATCCACAAGTCGAAGTGGAGCCTTTAAATGGTCAAAATGTTGCAAACTTCTCTCTTGCCAGAATTGGTCTCATCAGCCACAACAGAAGCCACAAGTCATCGTAACCTTTAATTCTTCAAATTTTTCTATTTCGCAGGAGAAATATTCTCCTCCGCGATTGTATTAGATTTAATCATTGTCAGACATTTACGGACGATTATTTCTACAATGTCAAAAGGAGCTCCATATGAAATAACTACGGTAAGTCTTGACTTTAAGCGAACTAGTGTTGGCTTACGAAACGTTGGTCTTCGGTTCGATAGACAGTCGCTTTTAATTAACGCAGGTGGTTTTATGCCCCACATCGGCACAATTTAGATAATTTAGGAAACAGGATTCCGAGCCTGCCTGTCAGGGCCAACCCGGGCTGAGGAGAGGGATACAGAATCCCAGCAGAAAGACCGAGATTTTGAATAAAATGTATTCCCCACTTGGAAATCGAACTCGGGCCTCCTGCGTGCGATAGCGAAGAGCGAACCACTACACAGATGCCCGAAGACAACATCTGTCAGCATTCAGCATTGCCTTACACTACACGACCCTTTCTAAAACGTTATCTTAGAAGAAAATTCAATTATTAAGTAAGTCTACCATTGTTGCTCAGCTTACAATGCGCAAGGCAATTCCATGGCACACTTTCTGAACTCGTCTAATAAGAAGCTCATCTTTCGAAATTATATGCACGAGTGAAATAATTAATCCCTTCTCCTTGTAGTTTTCCGCTGCACACATGCGATCACGTGTGGATTACTTTTGTTCACATTGCGAATTATACTTTGGGCAAAGATACTGTCTAAACCGAGTTCAAGTCCATTTCTGAAACCAATCTATCGTGTTGTTTGAACAGACCAATCAGAGATGTTCATTGGATAACTTAAATGTTGTATTATTATACAGCACATTAAAATGTGTGAAATGGGACTTGAAACAAATGTGTGCTAAAAACTTGTTCTTCGTTGTCTCACTCCCTCTGTTAACATTTCATTTGCCACTTACAGGCCATGCTTTCTTTTCATCTCTGTTGTTTCTGTCTATGTCTCACAGTCTATTTGTTGCCCTTAAATTGGTTCTCCTCCATAATATTACGTTTCTGATGGTGTCAAGCTAGTGGGTGTCATGATCTTCTCCAGGCACTCATTGACGAAGAACTGCTGGACTAGTTAGTAAGTTAGTTTACCATTTGCTTTGTACGTGCATGTATTAAACACAGGATACTTTTTATAGTAGGCCTATCTGTTGAGCTTAGGGGATGGCATTCTCTTCAGGGTGTGAGATCAACCGTTGATGTACTATGCACAATACTTTTTGTGTTTTAAACTCTCTCGTAACACCTCTAATCCGCGGCACTTATATTACGACATACTTGTGTTGAAAGCGCCGTAAAATGCTCACTAAAACATAAAAAATCCGTAGCCTGAATGTTACAAGTCCTAATTCTTTCTTTACAGTACCACAAGCCACTAAAATTCCTGGCAGTTGGGGCAATGCGTAGTTCGTTATCTTCGCATCAAAGTGCACAACTGTCGCGCTAATGTGTTGCCAATCATACAACAACACCTCTCAGGCGTGCAGATGGCACATTTTCTCAACACGAACTACTGTCGTATGAGAATAAAACGAATCTCTCTACTTTTCGTTGATGTTTGGTATTGCCGTTTAAGAAAAGCACATCTTTTACTTTGGTTGTTTTTTGGGCGGGTTCTATCTAGATATCTACATCGCATTACACAGTGATTTTTGTTTTGTAATGACTATTCAGCTTGGAGAAAAATATTATGCTCTTGAAATGGGTTGTATCTGCTATAAAAGTCACAAGCTTTGACGCCCAATATCTCAAAAGTACACCAACTGCAAATGGGATTCTTTTAATCTCATACGATGCTATGTGTTGTTCAAGGACGCCACTGGTAGGTCCAACTTCTTTTCTTTCACTCTGTTGTTTCTGTTTATCTGTCTTACTTCTTCCCTGCACTATGTGACTATTATTGTTTCTCTTTACTCAAACAATACAAACAAATCATGTGGTTAGCGGGTGCTCTGGTGTGGTTTGCTCCTTTCCTATCAGACTTCTGTCCTCCTTATCACTGCTGCTTCTTTTTGCGTTTGTTACTGTCTTGTGACACCTCTAATCTTCAGCTCTTATGGGACCTAATTGTGCTGCAAGTGCCGTAAAAAGTGCGTCGGTGGCCTAGTGGTAAGGCTACCAAACCCGTAATCGTGAGATTGCGAGTTCGGGGGCTCGAGCTTCAGCTCGGTCCGACGTTGTGTCGTTTGAAAAGGCATTTTACACGAATTTCCCACTTGGCTCGGCCTTTCGGAGATGGACGTTAAACTCGGAGACCCAACCTCTTAAATAACCCAATAGTGTTGATAGGGGCGTTAAACTTGTACCATTTCGCCATTTTTTTTCAGTGACGTAAAACTCTAATTAAAAGCAAAACATAACAAACAAATCACGTGATACACTTTCTTCTTTATTTCCAGCAGTCCGTCCCTTCGACCACTAGTCAACCCACAGATCTGTCGAGCAAAGTACACATCTCCCAACTGGCCCTAACATAACAAAGTTAAAGTTAAAGCAAGACCGCCTTTGAAATATCATTATTCAGCTCTGTGATCTTTGGCTGACGGTAAGAGTGTGTTTTAGCAAGTCCTTTCTGATATTGTAAGACCACGCAGGGGCAGATATGTACCTCCAAAAACAAAGAAAGAAAGATATAAAAAGATTTTTTTTTACCATCTAGCATAAGCATAATGTGTATTGCTCTTTAGAGTATGTATCTACGAGTATATACCTCTAGGGGTCTTGTAATCAAATTCCTGCATGTGGTTGAATGATGCAACTGATGTGATATATGTACATTTTGTCAGCTTTACTTCTCTTTTCATGTTGAATTTTAATAAGAGTAATATATAATTTAGATTGTTTATGTATACCTGCATGTGTACAGCCAAGACAAATTTCCTTCTGGAATAATAAAGTATTATCTATATCTTATCTGATCTGATCTGATCTTATCTTATCTGATCTGATCTTATCTTATCTTATTACGCTATATTATTATTACTTAAAATATCAATGACATTTAGGTCCTTATCAGTTTGTCGTAGAGCATTTTGGATACCTGTTTGTGCTTTTTATGAAGATATGAGTATGTTTGTTGGTTGTTTTCACGTTAGATCACATCATGGCAAGGTTTAATTTTTAAAGTTGGAATGGTTGACGTTTAAAATTCACAGTAAAGTTCAGTAGTAAAAATAGCCATCTGCATTTTGAGAATATCATCTTTGAGTAAAGATCGATGGTCCTCTGAAAATGAGAATTTTGTTGGGGTTAGCGATGGAGAACAATAATTCTTCAAATTAAATGAGGTGCATAACAATATTTCCTTCGGGTCTCCCCAAATTCTAAACTTTCTATTCGGATTCGCCTGATGTTAGGTCGACATCGCATCCGACACAAAATAGTTTTTCATCTCCCAGGAGGAGGTATCTATGTGTCACGGAGGTTTGTCCATTGCGCAATTTCGTAAAAATAACTTCGTCTCATCTGGATACTGCATGTGAGTTCAATACAGAAGTATCATTTATATCATATCATATCATATCATATCCTATCATAAAATTATCATATCATATCATATCATATCCTATCATATCCTATCATACCACATATGAACATGTGCATTTGAATATTTCCCAACAAAACCAAGCAAAGAAAATGCACACCAAGGGAAGTAACCATGTTTGTTAATACCAAACTCTTGTTTCACCCCATTTAGAAATAAAGGGACGTTTTGGACGCAGTCGGAATAAAGCCAAAGTGTTCTGAAAGTGCACCATTTTTAAAAATATGTAATACGTCTTGACGTCATAGTTATGAAAGTTCTGAGTGATGATCCTACTTCTTTTTCTCCTCTCCGCAGATACTGACCGCACGTCATGGCGAACGTTGTGAACATGACGATAGCAACTGCGCTTCTGTGCCTTGTCTTTTCCCTTGCTTCACGGTCAGACGCTCTCCCGCATAACCCCGAGGATGCAAGGACGCTGGTTCAAACCCTTTTTGAGAAAATTGCCGAGGAGCAGGTGCGTTTGAAGGGCGGGAAAATAATTAGAAGAACTGACTTCGGAGAAAGTTGTATGGGCATCATCAATGGTGTAGCGGTGTGGCGCTTCACCGTTGCATGCAGTAGATATGAGTTCAATTCCCGTTTTGGGAGGACATTAATCAAGTACTTCGGTCTTTCTGCTGGGACGGTGTATCTCTCTCAGTACGGTTAAGTCCTGATATACAGTGTTGAAACCCACCTTTTGTTTAATGCTCTTTATTATGTCATTGGGGGTGTAAAAACACCTCGATTTTTTCTTAAGAGAGTAAATTTGTGATGGTTTGGTGTTATATAATTTCCTTTAAATGTCTCTGCTCAAGAGTTATTAAGAATTGATTTTAAAAAAGACCTTGGTTCTAAGATAATTTGCTCCTTTTTTCCTATCATACATCTATTGTCCTTATCTCCCCTCCTTTTTATATATTATTTCTCTAATCTTCGGCTCTTATAATGACCTAATTGTGTTGCAAAACTCTTACTAAAACACCATCACCACCACCACCACCACCACCACCACCACCACCACCACCACCAACAACAACAACAACAACAACAACAACAACAACAACAGCAACAACAACAACAGCAGCAGCCGCAGCAGCAGCAACAACAACAACAACAACAACAACAACAACAATTCGCAATTAGTCAACTCTTTCCATTAAAACAGGTGCAGACCGACATCCCTTTCAAACCTTTCAAACACTTCGGCAAGAAGAAAGGCGCGTACAACAGCGAGGTCAAGCTCAACTTCCATGGCAACCTGGAGATGGCGGAAATTCGTCGAATGTTGAACGTCTTCGACAACAACATGTTCGTCACAGCCTGGGTGACGTCATCACTTCTTGAGGCCTCGCGACACGAGGACGCACCCGTCCCGTCCGACCATCAGCTAGATCTCGCGCTCAAAGTAAGCCGTGTGGCTGGTTCGTTGGCGGGCTCTCTCTCTCTCTCTCTCTCTCTCTCTCTCTCTCTCTCTCTCTCTCTCTCTCTCTCTCTCTCTCTATCTCTCTTTAAAAAAAAAAAAGAAGTTTAGTAGGGGGTTTTACGGCGCTCGCAACAGCATAATAAAAGGTCATATGAGCGCGCGTAACGCAAGTTAGTTTTATTCGCAGTTCACTGTACGGCTGGGTATGGGTCAGTAGTTAGATCTTAAAATTTTAAAATATGTAAAATTCGGTGTAAATATATATTTTTTCAATTTAAAACAATTTTCCTAAATAACGTAAAAATTTTTAATACATGTAATTCAAATTCGCTCTACAATTTCCCATAAAGGCGAATGGCCTTAGGCGGGTGCTCTGGTGTGGTTTGCTTCTTCTTTCCTATAAAAAACCCTAAGCAAACAAAAACTATCGTCCTTATATTATTATTTCCCCTCTTTTTTCTGTGTTTGTTACTTTCTTGAGCCACTTCTATCCTTTGGCGCTTGTATTATGACCAAGTTGTGTTACAAGCGTCGTACAACGCTTACTAAGACAAAACAAAGTAAGCTGTTATGTGATTTTTTTCTATGAATATATTTGCACCATTTTAACTTTTTATCTATCTGTCTATCTATCTATCTATCTATCTATCTATCTATCTATCTATCTATCTATCTATCT